TATATGAAATTATTTATTACACAATAAATAATCAAAACTATAAATGGTATTGAATTATTCCCAACATTTTCTTAACCACTGTTAGGTATGTCAATATAACATGAGTTTTAAAAAAATGCAAGAAGAAAAGTGCTGCTGTTTTCCTAACACCAAACCAAAACTATTTACTAATATTAATCTATTGTCATTACATCAGATCCTGTATATTATATATGTAACGTAAATTACGTAAATTGGTGGTAAACGATTTATAATAAAAATTATATTATGAATTATTTATAAAAATATATTCGTATAGCACGAGATTTTTGATAATTCACACAACCCTAAATGTTCATTTGATGAACAATAAATAAAAACATTTTTTATTTTTTTATTTATAGATTTAGGTTTTAACATCAATTGTTATTAGCCTGTAGTCGATTTTTACTTCGGGGAGGCCGGGAGGGTATGTGATTTGAAACACGTGTACATATGGCGAGAATTTGTCACTATAAAGCCGGGTGGTTACCTATCCGGGAGCTAGTGACACCTTTTTATTTTAATTTTAATATGGCGTTATGAGTAAGCAAATTAGACACACCTTATAGTAAGTTTATTTTTAAATTTAATTTGACCGCCCAATTTAAAATAATGTGTTCCAAATTTTTTTTATAATTATTAAATGAATTGTAAGTATCTTTAAACACAAATATAAAATGTTTAAGTCATATCTTTCTTAATTATTCCTAAAATGAAAGCCATGCTTCGTAGAACAGGTAAAAATAAAATTATGACTACATGTCTTTTACATAAGGTGATTTATCAAATATGATAACTGTCTTCTATCCTTTAATAGTAAAATCATTCAAATTTCAATTTTTTAAATTGTCAATGATGTTTAAGTTATACTAATTTTAATTTTAAGTTCTTGATTTCAATAAATTATTCATTGTAAAAGGTGGTTTTTATTTAAAAAATAAGCTTATATTAAACAAGACACTTTTTAAATAGTTTTAAAATATAAGTATTTACAAATATGGTTCTTATGTGAGTTTAAAAATTTTAAAAACCAGATTTTTAATATATATCGTTATGTAAACATTATTAAATGGTAATGTAAAGATACTTGGTGAAACACACAGTACCTACATAAAAAAAAAATTCAAATCGGGCCATATCTGCATGGAATTATATTGTTCGATAGTTAGTAACTGACGATAATGGCTAAATGAATTATAAAAATAGTAAATATTAAAAAATCCGAACTAAGTTTTTGACTACACAATTATTTTTTATTGATTTTAATGAAAAATTATTGGTTTCTGTTTCGATTTTCATAAATATTAGGTTTATAATAAAGGTTTCAAACCCTATATTATATATAATATATACCCATAAATTAGTTTTAAATCATCATTATGGGTGGTATGATGCGTAAAATTCTACGAGCACTGAACTTTGTTACTAATTTATAAGTTACGATGAAAATATTTTGGTCGTTAAATATTTTTAGAACCAATAAACCGAAAGTTTAGAAGTAATAAAATAAAATTGTAGTTCAAAGTTTGTTCAAGATACTCGGTTTTGACAATGAATTAATTATTCGCAACAACTAACTTACTACAGCAATTTACCAATTATAATATAATGATAACATATTTTCACACTACGAAGAAATATGCCACAAAAATGAAAATATGAATTTTCGAAATATTCAACACAAGTTTTATTTAGCAATGTAACTTAATATAATGATACTGTATGTACAAAACATATTTATATATTGTTTTGCCATGATTTATCACCAATAAAATTTAGTTATAAAAAAACATGAATATATTTGTTTATATCTTATAAATTGTTATTTATTTTATACTTGTGAAATAAATTTAAAAATTAAACTGCGGAAAATAGAGTATACGATTAGTATACATTTGTAATAACTGTCGCCAATAAAAAAATCAATTTTTTTTTAATGACACCATGTCGCATAATCTATTATCCAATTTATTATTATAGTTATGGGTGTTTTTGATATTCCGGTGACAGTGATTTCTTGTAAATAAAAAAAAAAGTAAATATTTATTTGAAGGATAATCACGATATAACTTTGCCTGAAATACTCGGATACAAAACTGTATAGCCTAGTATATGTATAAACGAAAAAATTCGAAGCCTGTCAAAATATGTCAGATTAAGAAAACAATTCTTAAAATTATAGCTGTTTAATTTTTTTCCTTTCCTTTCTTTTTTTATTTTTTACTATAATTTAAGATATTCCTATCCTATGGCTTTCTATTCTATACCGCTTATAGATAGGTAATACTTTATAATGTGATTATTAAAAAAAAAATGGCTATATATCATAACTATATTTATATATAGATAGATGATTTACCTAAATATTTTACTAATATTATACACAAATTATAGGAAAAAAAAAACATAAAAAAATAATAGACGTATAATAAATTACATTTTTTAAAAGATGAGATCGTATGGGTGGAAGCGTTTTAAGTATGAAGACTGTAGTGTAGTGAAATCATTTCTCTACATAATGTGAAATACACATAATAAATATACTAGTTTCAGAATTGAATATTATTTCATCTCAATCATTTGATTCCAAAATTGTTTATACTTTTTTATAGTGAATAAATTATTAGGTATCATTAAATTGTAGAATTTTAGCTACATTTAAATGAAAGAAAAAGTGAGAAATTGAGAATGGTTACGTTAGATGCGTTCTGCGGAATACGAAAATGTTTTGAGTCGTTATAACGAAAGACGTCGACAGTCATATTAAAGTTACTTCGGATTAACTTTAAGTCGACTCATAAATATAATGCGTTATAAGTTTTAGCTATATAATATTTATATTATGTATACGTGTGTATAATATAGTGTCTACATTGAAACGACAATGTTTCAAATGCACGCGTGTATAACGTGTAAGTCTAAAACATTTTCGACACATGCTTATTATACTAACTATTGTTATTAGTTTTCTTGTGTACTATTAGTTTAGTCTACAAATTATAATAACTCCGTTTTCTATGAATGAGTTCTTAATGGCGACAAATGTGTATATTTTATCAGTTATTGTTATTAAAATAGGTACGTAGGCATAGAACGTTGTATTTTCTTTCCGTAATTATTAATATTAAATGGCGAAAAAATTGATTATTAAATCTACTACATAAATCTACTATATAAATATACCAAGTTACTATTTGGTTTATTATTATGTAGAATGAAATTATAATTTTGTCCAAAAGCCAAGAGTTGTGTAAAACAGTTTTTTTCCGAATCGTGTAACATATTATTTACAGTCATTATGGAATGAAAATATTTAAACTTTGTCCTACGTATATTTTATTAATTATTAACTTAAATTATTTTTGTTTATTATTCTGGCTGAATAGGTATTTATATAATAATAAGTATAATATTGAGCTAAATCATAATTATCTTGGAAGTATTAAAATTATGTTTATAACATGAACGAATTTCATGTGTCGTTATTATTTAACAAACTCATTTAAAAACCAACAATGAAAACTCAAAATAATTATTATTTTTAATTAGAACAACATATTTTTAAATGCACATTGCAGTTGTAATATTGTAGGTTATTTTAATTTAATTTAATTATCGTTACTTTTAATGATTATAGAAAAGGATAATGTATAATAAAGTGAAATCCAAACAATATATTGCGCGTTTTAATGGTAATTACTGTTCCAATCAGGGCGATCAATTTCAAAACACGTTTTTGTTTTTATTTTACACAATGCGTGTTTGGATAAGCTTAATATGTATAATATGCACATTTTTGAATGAAATTGCTAATTTAAATTCTATTTATTTCTGATTTTAAATACGTGGTGTGTCTGTATGGGAAGTTAAAAAAAAAACTTAACATTTTTCAGCGAAAAAAAATAGGTGCGTCATATTTACTATTTATATAAGTGAAAATATTCATTACGAAGTACATCAGACTTATTGTTGATAAAATTGATTTTAAACATTTCAAACTATTGAAACACACTACGTATATGATGGCTCGTGTAGTGCTATTTGTATAAATAATAGTTATCTACCTCAAAGGAATGCAGGAATGTATTGTATTAAACAAGTGACATCAAAGATTAAAACTTAAAATAATTGAAAAATTTTGTTTTTATAACTATAAAAAGTGGAAAAAACGGTTAGCATCTTTGCATCAATACTGTATTATAAACAATATGTTTATGTATACACGTAAAAATAAGACAAAAAAATTAAAATATTATTATATCGTTATCAAAACAACGTGTACCTATATTAGAATTTAAATATATTAGATAAAACAAGAATACACGATCAATTAATTGAAGTGTGCGAAGCAGCAGTCGTAATTCATGAAACATATTAGAGCCCGGATTATTATTTTATATTATATAATTTATAATTTATACTATACATGACGTATAACTACTGCGGTATACTTACACGAGTGACGACTGCTGCAGTTGTTACCGTGACATTTAGTCTAGGATCGATGGGATAGAAATCGACGTAGTATTTTACCATAACCATATACCTATGGATGTATGTAGGTTGTTTAGTCTCAGAACATTGATTACCCGCATTGAAGTTTTTGAAAACATTCGGTATATCAATTTTTAAAATATTCGAGGAGAAAGCTGTCTATACTTCACATCGTTTAGACGTATTTTTTCATTATTTCAAAATAAACAATAATTTTTTTTTTCTTACGGTGACCCAAGTTATTGATACATGGAGTTTCAATATCATCAAGGCGGTTATTTCATGAAATTTCGACAAGCATAATTGCATGTTCAATTATTCGAAAGGAAAAAAAAAATAAAACAAATCGTAAATCGAATTTATTTAAAATCTCGATAGATAACCGTTGGCCCGTGGTACATACACGATCGCTCTGTATAATATATACAACATTAATAATGACATTAATGATATTCAACGTCTGTTTGTTGGTTGGTGTTTTGCAGGTCACGAGGTTGTTGCAAGCGATGCCGTAGCGGTGGTGCGGTGCCGGAATGACAAACAGCCCTGGGGCCTACCATGCCGCCGCCGAAAACAACCGTAACATCGGTCACGCAGCTGCGACGTCTACATCGACGACAGCGCAGGGACGCCGCAGTCAGACAGACGCTTCTCACTACATCATGCCAGCGGACCCGTAAGACCTTTTTTGTTACATCGTTATTTTTATTTATTTTTTACCACAACTTTGCTCATGACGTCGTTTGTGCGCGATTTTTTATTTCATTTCTATAACCGGGGACGATAACGAAAATGTAATATTATAAATTCAAAACGTAAAAGAAAAATACAGAAATCATAAACAAAAATCGAGTCAGGCCGCGATAATACGTACGCAGAAACATATTGATGTTTTAATGTTTTAGTTTTAGCAATATTACGTGATAAAACGATTATACATTTTTTACTAAAATTAGCGTAATTTAATGACGTAATTGGTTTATAACAATTTTCAGCACTATAAATATTTGGCTTAGAATATACTTCGGTTATTTGTTGAATTTATTTTGGCTAGGACTTGAGAGCTTTATATTTGATATAATAGGTTTTAGTCCGAATAACAAGGCGATAAGAGTCCGGAGAAACTAGACCAGTAAATTAATTGAATAGGTACGTGCCATGCATGACTAACATAGGCAGACTACGCTAGGCTCAAATGAGAAGTGGGTACTTACAATAATATGTACATTGTATACGATAAATAATAGAAATGAAACGTCTAAAATAGTTAACGGTTGAAATAAATGCTATTTACACGTGAACGAATTCGATGGATGAAGCATAATATTACTCGATCGAGCGTGAAAATAAAGTGATATTTTGTCACTAGTACACTCCACAAAAATACCTAAAAAAAATTAAAACGTATTTAAAATGTGGTGCTCATTATAATATGATATGCTATCGTGTGAAATTTTCAATACAGTTATCCGCGAATTAACATCGAGTCGATGGCGTATTAGACGATACAATTTCAAAAAAATGTTCACCAAGTACTAAGTAACTGGTATATTGTAAACAGATAAGACGTAAACTACGCTTGAAGAAGACTTATCTGAATAACTGTGGCTTTTAAAATTGTTTCGATATTATACCAATACTATAATAATATTCATCATCGGGGAGTAACGATATATCGCAATAATAATACGTTAATTACGACCTATATCAATCCGCGACGACAATCAAGTAATTTTGCATTCTCTCGATCCAACTTTGACAGTGTACTTAAGTGGTTTTAAAATCGCGTACGTACAAAAATTTAATATTAATACAATGGTTAAACCTCCTAATGTTTTTAGCTGTTATTCTCGCTCTTCACTCCATTCCGTCATGTTTATTTCTGTTAATAATGTCTGTGGTGTGTCGGATAAACTTTATTTTTGTTTTTTATGTCAACCCTTTTCAAAGACTATAGTTGTGAAGGTCGAACGGGTGTATAATATGTATACTGGTGGATCAGTAGAGTTATGTACTCAAGGCTGGCATGAAAGCCACACGACATGGACTTGAAGAGTTATGGGTCGGGTGTGGGATTTTCCACACGGTCGCTGTCACGTCCGCGGTATGTTTTTTACGCTCCAAAAATCCTCATTTTATCAGTTATTTAATAATAACAGTGAATAAAACTGAAAAAATGTCATTAGCTAGTTGTCAAGTCATGTAACTCGTGTTTATCAGAAACGAAGGATATGACGCGGTAATTCGGTTCGAGCAAAGGTTATCTTGTATATTATTATTAAATATATTATAATATAATAATATGAATACGTTTAATTAAATACGAAAATATAATATGATGATGATTTGATTGAGGTTTAACGAGATTGATTAAATGCATCATTATGGTTTCGTTATTGCGATGCGTTTGCTAGTTCCATGTATGGTTTTAAATACAATATCTGCTGATGTTCTTAGAGCAGCGTGGTAAAGTCGAGTCTACCTTAATAAACGAATGGATTTTAATCGGGTATTACTCATCATTGGATAGTATTATAGAGTTATAATTTTACACCATTGTATTGGTAAGCATTGATGAAACTAGAAAATGCGCACACAAAGTTTAAAATGTGCATCCTCACTCCAACAAAAAAAATTTTTTTTTTATTATAATATGATTATTTTGTAGTTATTATTATAGAACATTGACATAGACTACGTTGTCCTGAACTAGCATTAATCTAAATAAATATAATTTACTGGACAGAAAAATCACGTTAAATGATTTGTGACAATGTGATTTTAATGAACTTAATTTTATATTTATATATATAATATACATTATATATACTATATACGTACATAAATGGGGGTTGATATATCCAACATTTATAAACTCAAAAACTACATAAATATTATAAATAAAATGTGAAGGGTTTGGGAATACTTTACTATTCATGCAAATTCAAAAATGTACTACTTCAGTATTATAGTTACACCTTTAGTAGGTAAAATATTACATTTTTAGTTGGTGTCATGTATTGGTAGTATCTTGCGTTTGTAGTAAAACCGTATTTTTCAAACCAACAATCAGTCATTGTGATATTCTACGTGAGATGACTGCACGAGTGCTTCAAAACGTCTTATCAAGTATATCCTAGGGATGGACATCATATAGATGATATTATATTCATGTTTGAAACAACAAATTGCATTTGTTTTAAAATATTATATTTACGATAAAAATTAATTTTTGAGATAATTTTTTTTTCTGTTTCAAATGAATTCGTTTTTATACCTCACCCTGTGTAATAATGTATACACCGTAAATTCTCGATTAAACGTAACACGACATTCATATTGCTCGTTCGACGAATAAATCTTGAGCTTTAAGCTAGGCCGCTTATATTATTACAATCTATAAACGGTCAGTGTGCGCAAATATTCATAATCTAGTATCGTAACGAATGCGTTTTTGAATCTTTCCCCCCTCTGTGTTTAAAACCCGGATCTACTAAGCCAGTCGATAAACGCAATAAACTTCTCTGAGCACAATACTATATAATGATATGCATAGTTATATTAAAAAACGCGCAGAGTTTAAACATTTATAATGTTTTATTTATACGATTTTAATACTCTGCGACAACATAATATTATGATGTCGTTTCGTGTCTGGTATCCGCTCAATTTATAGGAAAAAATATCAAAAACAAAATTGAAATAATACACAATATAATATCACAAAAACCTCAACCAAACGATTTGGTTTTGTTTATATATATATATATATATATATATATATAGTATTAAATTATGAAAAATAATAAAATCTAATGGCTGGTACGAGAATAATAATAAGTATAGTAGGACTAGTAAGTACAACTATATTATTATATACGCTATAGGTAGGTCGTGTTGAAGTTACACGAACATAAAATTTAATGAGATCTCATAAAAAAAAAAGAAATCCACGGTTGTATCAATATGTTTTGGGGGTGGCTGGAAAGCGGTTGATACGGTTACAATGAAAAGGATAATAGCGCAGCGAAATATTAGTTTAAAAAAAATAAAAGTACTTATACTTTGTAGGTAGTTTTATTTTTATGGCACGTTCTTGAAGAATAGAAACTAACACCGAGAGAAAATACAAATACTTAAAAAGTTATAATCCTGTTTTGGTGAGATTATATATATATATATATATAATGTAACATCCAACATTAAATTGTGAGTTAACAAGTTGTTCAATTTGGATTAAATATTGTTAAAGTAAGTACAGTTTCAGTATTTCGGATTAAGTTTGTTCATTTTTCAAAACAATCGAGGCAATTTATTTCCAATCATCATCGTCATGTTTGAGTTCAAAATGATTTATCTTTTTTAGGTATATTATTTAATATCATTTATAAAACATTTAACTATTTTGAAACTTATGTAATATATTAAGTCTATAGTCTAAATATTAAATCAATTAAAAAAAAGAGATTTTTCTCTCGCTATAGGTAGCGTAACATGAAACTTGGTGGCCCTAAAGTCTGTGTTTCTTAAACACAGACATTCAATTAGTAAATAAAAACTATATAGATATTTCTCGTTTTTTAAAACAATTTATTTTCAATATAAATATAATTTAAACAATAACAAGAAATGTCCAGTGTTGTTTTAATGTTGGTCTAAATACGTCACTTCCTGATATATAGTAGGTTTTGAATGTACTTCGTCATTGTGTTTAATGGGTGATTTCGGACATAACGAGTTTAAATTTGAAATTAATAGTTAATTATTATCATATAAAATGTTTAATGATTCCGAGCGTAAAGTCTAACATATATTTCTAAAGAGCGTTGATGACTTAAAGGTAATATTATTTTCTTAATTGTGTAGTTAGAATTATTAATATTAACCTAAAATATTCCAACTAACCTATAGTAGATAAAAAATATAATTATATACCTATAACATATATAGTGATGTGAATAGGTTTTGGTGTAAATAACTTTAATATTTCGACAATTTTATCGAGTGTATAGAAAATTGTAATATGAGTTTAAGTGAAATGTTCAAAGTTTTGATGATAAATATTTTTAATATTTTTTAAATTATAATATAAGTTGTTATATTATGTTTAAATATTCATTTTCGTAAAAAATTCAATCTAAAAAAAAAAAAAAAATAAGATTCTTTGAAAATTGGTTCTTTGTAATTTTTTCCGTTATCACGCTATTTTAAAATTTTTTCTAATTATTAAGAAAATTATTGAAATTTATTTATTTTTTACCTTAAAAAAATTTCATACTTTAAGATGATAGACTCATAAAAAATATTATTCGATTTCAATCAATAATCTATTTATTTATTTTTTATTTATTATTTAATACACGTACAAAAAAAAATATTACACACACACACACACATATATATAACATAACATAATGTACAATGGGCTACACTGAGCATTCAAAACATCTATAAAACGTATTAAATTGAAAGTACTATAATATATGTTAATTATTTTTATTAAACTGTGTTTTTTGGTAAATACGTTCCAGTTATTTAACTGTAATAGTTACCTATTACTTTAATAATATTAAGCATTAAGCATGATCAAAGAAATTTGCGTAGTTTTATTGAATCGTTGAGTTAAAAAAAAAAAAAGAAAAGAAAAACGAACAACATGTGATTGAAAACATTTAC